CTTGGTGTGACAATATTGATTGCTTAGAGGAAGTGAAGAAATTGGACAAACTACCCTGATATTGGAGAAAGCTGACATTGTGTATCTTGCACACAGTCCCCACAACTAACTAATACGGCTGGTGTGGAAGCAAGATGGTACCTGGTGAATGAATATAGATTATTGAGAGTTAAACAAGGTGACACCACCTCTGCATCCTGCTGTTCCCTTGATTACCAACCTCTGGATCATTTGACTCTGATTTTGGGATGGTACTGCTATATAGTGGACCTAGCTAATGCCTTCTTCTCCATCAATGTAGCTCCTGAGAGTGAAGAGCAGTTTGCATTTACAAGTGAAGGGAGACATTGGGACTTTGTTGTTCTTTCTCAAGGCTATCTACACAGTCCAACCATCTGTCATGTACTGGAAGCCAAGGACCTCATAGTAGGCGATCCCAGCAGTGAACCTGAGCCCAGGCACATTTTTCCCCACCTCCACCTTCTGCCAGTCAGGCAAACTGCTCCTGGGCATGGCCCAGGCCCACATGGAAACCTACCCTCTAGCTGATTGGAGAGGCATATGGGTGCCAGTGTCAATTCTGTCCTATGGTTAGTGTTCCCCAGAGTTAGTTGCACCCCTTCTCTTTCTCCCTGCCCTTTAAAAAGTGTACATGCTGCAAATAAAGTTGGACATGGTCACTGAAAACTTGTCTCTGGTGCTTCTTTTGGGAAGGGCACTGTTGCCATACTCTCCAATAATGTGGCTTTGCAGAACAAGGCACACCTGTTTACCTTGGTCTTTCCTTCTGCAGACCCCAGGGCACAATTTGTGTGCTGCACTGCCAGTGTATGGAGGGCGTCTGCACTCATTGGCATGTGGCCCTGGCCTCACACACTTCTTCCTCTGCTTCTGGGCCCTGCTATCCTTTTAGAAGGGATCCAAGCTTACAGGGGACTAACCAGGCCAAATGTGCCCATCTTGGTGTCCCCAATCATAATGTCTGGCAAACCCCTTTTCTGGGTAGGAAGTATATTCATAGGTGTAGGGATTGGGGTGTGGGCATCTTTGGGGTCACCATTCAGCAGCCCTCACACCGGTATCCATGTTATATCAACAAGACAGGTGAGTCTCACATACACCCAGTCTTAGAGGAACCTGGTGGTGAGATGATACCACAGAATCCCTGGCCCCAAAACAACCCTGAGCTGCAGATATTTTGGGAGATGGAGTGATCCTGCCATTCAGACCACAGGACAGGGTGTACAGGTCAAGAATAACAGAGGAAACAATGCTTCTGTTCCACTTTGTCACTGGAAGTCACACATCAAACTTGCTCTTCCAGTTTGGCTTTTTTGTGTTGAGGAAGACCTACTCACAGCATCCTGAAAATGCATTGCAAATGGAAAGAGAGCAAATATGTATGCACTGAGGTGAGTATCGGCCATGGGTGCCTGCACATGATGCTGGTGTGACACAGTGGCTGCAAGGACCCCCAGAGCAGCTTCTTCAAGTGAAACCCATGCAATGCCCATGACATTTCTACCATGCATTTATTGTAAGCAAGTAAAATATTGTGTAAAAATATCACTGGGTCTGGAATCTGGACATTGGGGGCTGCTGTGAGTGAAGGAGCCACAACATAGGGGTTGTTTCTATGGCATTGTTACAATAAAGTGGTGACTCTGAAGCTTTGCTCATCAAATTTAAGCTCCATCCACTGGAATAACTCAATTATAAGTAGTCATTATCTCTTTACCAGGATTCTAACAGAATCCCAGAAACATGCATTTTCTGGTTGATTTTTTTTTTACAATAAATGCTTTTTATTGTATGCTCATTTCAATGAGTAACATTTAGAAATTATAATCCCACATAACAGTGACATCTTATTTTATAGCATGTACATCATTTACAGCCACATAACACACAAGTTTAGCTGATTTTCCAAAATTAATATTCTGAAGTTAAGAAAGATAAAAAATTATTCTTTAGAAACTGTCTTATCTGGTGCCAAAACAGAAAGTAAACATTATTTGAAACACAAAGCCACAATATATAGCATGAATTAAAATACATTTAAAGTATGTTGAACTGCTGAATGTAAACATGAAGCAACTAGGCATCCGCACTGGGTCTTGAAGTTGTAAAGTTCCCAGCACACATGGACAAGTCCTTATGTGCGCTGCCCTGAGTGGACTCAGATTACAGCTCCACGTTTGCCTCCAGGTGTCTGAAATCATTTCCCCAATATTTTAAAAACATCCCTTTCTTCCTGAGGCTCCATATCCTAACAAGAAGCAGCAGACAAAAGCAGGCCAGGGTGGCACACACATGTGTAGGAGATGCAACGGGACCACCACTGCCTCCAGAGGAGGGGTGCAGAGAACACAGGAGCCTCAGATGCTGAGCAGGGGCTACTCCAGTTCTCTTCTGGACCTGGCCAGAATGGGTGTTATCTCAGCCCTTGCGAGCAAAGATTCAGAAGATGAGTTACACATGCAGCAGCATCAGCCGGCCCCATGTCACCTATGTTGGTGCAATTCCTCTTCCCCCATGAGGCAAACACTGGACATAGAGGTCCTCACCAGGCTGTGATCCAGTTCCCCTGTCACACAGTGAAAGAGCAGAACTGGAAGATGTGTGGATGGTGGGGGTGGAGACACTTGCTCAGCCCACCAGAGAAGAGGGGCTTGTGTGAAATTGGATATGGGGCTGGAAAGAGCCTGATAATTCTGAAGTGGGCAGTGTCTTTGATACTAACAGAATAGCATTCTTTCTTAGAGTAGAGAATCAGAGCGAGAGTGAGAGTGAGCAAGAGAGAGAGAGAGAGAGAGAGAGATCTTTCATCCACTGACTCACCAAGTGGCCTCAATGGCCAGAGCTGGGTCCATCTGAAGCCAGGAGCCAGGAGCTTCACCTGGTTCTCCCACATGGGCACAGGAGCCCTAGGACTTGGGCCATCATCCACTGTTTTCCCAGGTGCAGGGAGCTAGAGCAAAAGTGGAACACCCAGGACATGAACAAGCACCCATATAGGATGCCATTTACCTGCTATGCCACAGTGCTGGGCCCTAAGTCCTATTTCTCCAAATAGAAGTTTTTTTTTAATGTTTACTAGGATTTGTATATGTGATTACTATTCTGGTCTTGCTCTGCCTCTCTACAATTACACCAGTAAAATTTGTTTTAAAAATTGATTAAGTTGACCATATAATTTAGCAAGCAACAAGTGAGCTATATAGGATGATGAAAATTGATGCAACTGCACCTATAATTGTGTTCTTAGTGTCTCTAAGCCACAATTCTAATGTATTGTACTTGAGAAATGAATATATTTACTGTAATCATAGTTTTATTTAAATATCTAAATAATATCTGTAGGATTTTTATGTGTTTGTGGTTTGTAGTATTGATGGGGGATATTCTTGAACCTCAAGAGTTATTACCAATGTGTTATTTTTGTTTTTATAGAATAATTTAAAACAAGATACTAATTTTATAGGTAATATTTAGAGATTTTATAATTGTATATTTCACAACCTATTAAAATGTTTTTATATTGGAGCTTTTTTTACATTGTTGTAACATGCAACAGACACTTGTTTGTTTCAAAATAATTCATTCATTCAATAAATGCTTCATGTTATGGACCAGAAACCACAAGACTCTATGGATTCACAGAAAATGCACAGTGTTTGTTGATAGGCACCTAAACATTAGAAATGGAAAAATGTGAATTATCTTCTATAAATATTTCTTCTTTTAATTATTTGAACAAAATCTTTGGATTCAACCTAGAGCAGAGAAACAAAATGACTAAGAATAATTACTATATATACTATAATTTAACAACTGAAGAAGTAGACCAGTGGGTGATGGAGACAACTGGTGAGTTCATGGACATGAAGAGTCTCCTTGGGATAAGGACGCCTGGTGGCTGTCCTGAGCAGACACTGTGGAAGTGCAGTCCTTGGAGACACTGGACACTGTGGGCTCAGTTCCTGGGCAAGCTGTAAGCTCACAGGAGGTCAGCACAAGCAGGACCATGAGGGGATGATGGAGAATCATCAGGCAGGAGTGTAGCAGCCTAAGAGTGGGTGGGGTTAGGTGAGGCCTGAATGACTGTCCTGGCAGGAGCAGGGCTGGGAGGCTTCAGGCTCCTCTGTGTGGGAGGACCCTGATGGTCACATGCCCTGGCCAGGCCAGCAATGGTGTGGGGTTATCACAGCATGAGTCATGGTTCAGGAGCAGGGAGTGGGACCCTGTGGGGCATCAGGAGGGTAGGACAGGCTGCAAGGACATGTTCATCATTACTCCCTCCTGTTTAGTCTCCAGTGATTCAGGTAGATGGCAGAGGAGGGCATGACAGATGGGAGGTGCCCCCATATGACCTTCTGAGTGACAGAAGCAATGTCCCTGAGGTGAGTTCTCCCAGTTCTCATCTTGTATTACTCAACCCATGGCCTGGTCAGCACCTGGTAACCCAGCTGCCCTGAGACCTTGGGAAGTGGTTCATCCTTGGAGCCCCTGAATGTGATGATGTCTGGGGTGGGGGGGATCCCTGCCCTGCAGAACACACCCAGCACCACACCACAGTCACCTCCACCAGCCAGGGCCCAGCTTCCTCACAGGACCCTGCCCTTGGCCTCCCTCCATCCTCACCTCCAGGGGAGACCAGACAAGGGTGATGAGGAGACTGGTGAATACAACAGCAGCAATGGAACCTGCATAGCTAGGAACACACATGGGCTTGTGAACACACACACACACACAGACACACACACACACAGGCTCACACTTGTACCCAGTGGGATATTACAGCTCAGGCCCCCCAGGACAGGGAGAGTAGTGAGGAGCTTGGCCACAGCAGGACCCAGGAGGCTCCACAAATCCTGCAAGGCATTCACTGTCCCTGCAGGACCAGAGGCAACCATGCCCAGCTGAGGAGCTGGAGGGGCCTAATGGTGCTGACGTGAAGGTGTCCCCCAGACATAGATGTCCCTCATCTGGGAGCCCTGGAGATTGTGGGTGCTCCTGCCCCACATGCTTATTGACACCATCAGCCTCTGTGTGGTCAGCACCAGTGTCAGGGGCAGGTGGTGAAGTCACAGTGACTCAATACTTCACTCTTGCCTGTGTCCAGAACAGAGTTCTTGTTCCTTCTGCAGTCTGGTCCCTGCTGGCTCACGGTCCCAGGCAGGTGGCAGGCAGCCTGCCTCACCACTCACCCTAGTCCCTGGACTCTTTGACACCCAAAAGCAACAGCAGCAGCAAGGAAAGGCCAGAGGAGGGCAGGAGGCACAGCCTGGATCAGCAGTGCTGGAGTAAGCCTGTCTTGTGGCAGGAGTTTGTGCCACTTGGAGTCCCCAATTCTGCTCATTTGCAAGGGTGGGGAAAGTAGGGAGACCTCAGGTAGTTGTATACCAATTGTGAGGGCACCCATTGCACTCATATTAATCCAAAATGCAAATGCTCAAAAGTCAATACAAAGGCCGGAGCCGGCTCACTAGGCTAATCCTCTGCCTAGCGGCGCCAGCACACCGGGTTCTAGTCCCGGTTGGGGGGTCGGATTCTGTCCTGGTTGCCCCTCTTCCAGGCCAGCTCTCTGCTGTGGCCAGGGAGTGCAGTGGAGGATGGCCCAGGTGCTTGGGCCCTGCACCCCATGGGAGACCAGGAAAAGCACCTGGCTCCTGGCTCCTGCCATCGGATCAGCGTGGTGCGCCGGACGCAGCACCGGCTGGCGGCCATTGGAGGGTGAACCAACGGCAAAGGAAGACCTTTCTCTCTGTCTCTCTCACTGTCCACTCTGCCTGTCAAAAAAAAAGTCAATACAAAATATAATTGTAGAGGAGGAAAAGGAGGATGGAGGATGGAGGGTGGCATGGATCTGGGACCTTGTCCAGTGGGTGACAGAAGGCACCAGGACATCTGAGCCCATGACATACCTCCCACACATCTGTCCTTTTCTCTTGATCCCAGAAGAGACCACAGGCCCCCTGCTAGGGGATTCTTATTCCTCAGGGGGTTGGGAACCCTGACCCTGAGACTGCTGATCTAGGAGGGTGCCATTGTGACTGCTCCATGATGTCATCATTGCCAAGCACTGCTCCTTCCATATTCTACAGCAGTTAGAGGCCACTCCTGTGTCAAGTGACCGGCTGAGCTGGAGTTTGTTTTCTAGGCAGCAAGCAAGTTCAGGACACGGGGATGGATTCAGGTCCAGGTGAGTGGGACTTGCTCTCTTATGTCATGATGATTTGGGGACAGGTTGTCCCAGCTGTGTGGGCCTGGCCTCTCCTGGTTACTGCAAAGGGCCATGCTGCCTGAGTCTCTCTCTCTCTCTCTCTAGCAAGTTTTCTAGCTACAAAACATGAAAAATTTGATTCTCTTTCTGAATACTAACAATGGAAATGTAGAACCTGAAATTAACTATGCCACTTTCAACTAATATGAGAAAATGAAATGCTTATGTATAGTATTAACAAAATATGTATAATATTGTACACTATAAATAACAAAATACTGATTTAAAAAAGGCAAAGAACTGGAAACCGTACTGTGCCCATGGATTACAGGATAAATGTAATAAAGGCACTGGTTTCCCCAAAATAGTAAATAACTCTAATACAATTCCATCACTATCCCAGCAAGATTTTGTAGGTCTAGGTGAACTTATTCTAAAATTCATATGGAGAGTTAAGACAGTCTTGGGAGAGTGGGAAGAACAAAGTGGGAAGATTCACTGCAGTCAATGTCAAGTCTCACTATGTAGATGCAGTAATCAAGAATTTGTGACACTGGGGAAAGGACAGACATAGACAAATAGAACAGAGAACCCAAATAGGCCACACAAATATGCTCAATTGAATTTTTTTACTCAGTACCACAGGGAATTCAAAAAAGAAAGGATAACTTATTCAAAAAGTGGAGTTCCCCTGCCTCTGTTACACATCAGAGTGCCTGTGTTTGATCCCTGGCTCTGCTCCTGACTCCAGCTTCCTGCTACTGCAGACCCTGGGAGGTAACGCCAAGGGCTCAAGTAATTGGGTTCCTGCCCCCACATGGGAGAGCTGGAATGAGGCCCTGGCTCACTGCTCTAGCCTGGCTCTGCCCCATGTTGCAAGGATTTCAGGAGTCTATCCGTGGATGGAACATATCTCTGTCTCTCCCTCCTGTGCTGTCACTCTGCTTTTCAAATAAATATAAGGATCTTTAAAATATCTTTTAAAGGAAAAATACAGGACTCCAAGATGAATTTTCTCAACAGCTGACCAATGCATAATTTGTGAGTTTATTCAATATTCTATGCAATAGATGCATTTGCATTTCTGATCAACCCAGATCAATTCACATGTCAGATGAATGGAAAAAAAACAAATATATTTATTCCATTGGACATTTGGGATATGATACACTAAGGGGTCATGTCATCCGAAGTTTATCTACAAATGGAACTGGGCATTTGGGTGTTATTGTTTCAGGTACTTCTGTTTTTTTCTTGGCTAAATGTGGCAGCCCTATCAGGCTAAACTTGGAAGTAGGGCCTTCTCTATACCAATTTCACCTATGCAAGTGTCAGACTGTCTTTTTTCCTCTCTGTAAAGGGGGTGATGACTTTTATTTTGCAAGGCTGCAAGCTTCCCAAATCACACAGCTCCACTAGCTGTTGTTGGTGGTGAATGCTTAGCAATGAACATGCATGTCTGGGGATGATGGTTGGAGCACTGAATCTTTCTTTAAAAAATTATTTATTTAAAATGGAGAGAGAGGGAGAAAGAAGGAGATAGGGAGGGAGAGAGAAAGAGAGAGAGAGATTGAGAGAGATCTTCCATTTGTTGGTTCACTCCTCAAATGGCTAAAACAGGGCAACTAGGTCTGAGCCAGGAACTCCACTGGGGTTTCCCATGTGGGTGGTAGGGAGCCAAGCACTCAGGCCACACTCCACTGCTCTCCCAGACACAACAGCTGGATCAGACAGAGCATCAGAACTTGAACCAGCGTCTGACACGGGATGCTGGCATCACAGGTGGTGCTTTAACCTTGCTTCACAACAGAAGCCCCTAATTAAACACATCTTGCTTGTTACTGTATCCCTGGGTTAAAGCAAGTGCCTACTAGCAATGTTATGGGCAAAATTATTTTTCACTTAAATTTTGCATGTAGGCATTTATTTCAACAGCAGAGAGCCAGCAAGCTTTCATCTGATGGTTCACTCTCCAAATACCCACCATGACCAGGGCTTGGCCAGGCCAAAGCCAGGAGCCAACAACTCTGTTCAAGGATCCAATCACTTGAGCCATCACTGTTGGTTCCCAGGCTATGTATTGGCAGGAAGCTGGAGTCAAGAGCCAGTTGCAGGACTTTACTCCAGCACTCCAGAGTGGGACATGGGCTTCTTAAACTCCAATTAAACACCTGCCCCACAGGTAAACCTAAATGGCCTGTGGAGTTGGCAGGGCCAGTGTGATCACACCCTGTGTGACATGACAAGTGATAGAAGTGGAGGAGGCAGCTCCAACATCCTGGCTTTGCCTTCACTTTAACCACCCAGCTGGTTTTCTGGGATCAACTGGGTGCTCATTTCCTCCACTAACTGAGCTGGGATGTTTCCCAGATTCCTCCATGCTCATTTTAGAAGAGATGACAATGTAATCCTGTGTCATTGCCTGTATCTGCGGTAAATGCTGAATTTCTAGGAATGAACTTTTGCCAACACCTGCTCAGTGTCAGGGTTTAGGCTTTTTATGTTATTATTATTATCATTATTATTATAGAAAGAGAGACATAGATATCTTCCAACTGCTGGCTCAATCTCCAATGCCTGTAAGAGCCAGGCCATGGCAGGCAACACCCAGGAGCCTGGAACTCCATCTGGGTCCCACTTGTTGAGCCATCATCTGCTCCTTGTGGGTGTGCACTAGCAGGAACCTAGGTTGGAGGCAGAGCCAGGATTTAAACCAAGGATCTGATATGGGATGTGCAGTCCCAAGCAGGACTTAACCTCTAAGCCAAATGCCCACCCCCAAGTGTGTATCTTACACCACTCTAATGAGAATCAGAGAAGGGAAGTGCAAAGGAAAAAGCCTGTGTTTAGAGTGAGATGGCCCAGGTTCTCAATGTTGCTACTGGTAGCAGTATCTTAGATGTCAATTCACTTCACCACTGAGCCTCCATATTCCCATTAAATTAAGTAGAAAACCTATTGGAGGCACCTTGTTCATAGAGTTTGTTCTGCTTGTATGGTTTACATGTTTCAGGTGCCACACAGAACATTCTAGGTTCATTCATGGCCTGAATTGTGTAGGCAGGCTCTGAGATAGCCACTGTTGATCCCCACCTCCTGGTACAACTTGTTTTTTAAAAATATTTGTTATTTATATGAAAGGCAGAGTTCTCTCTCTCTCTCTCTCTCACACACACACACACACAAACACATTTTCCATTCACTGGTTCACTCCCCACATGGACACAATGGCTGAAGCTTGGCCAAGATGAAGCTAAGATCCCAGAATTCCATCTGTCTTTCCCACGTGGTAGAGGCCCAAGCTCTTTGGCCATCACCTGCTACCTTCCCAGGGTGTGCTTAAATAGGGAACTGCATAGAAGTGGAGTAGCCAGGACTTGAACTGGCCCTCTGATATGGGATCCTTCTGTTGCAAACAGAACCTTAACCCTGAAGTGGGGTCTAATCTTATTCCAGGTCTTTGCCTTCTACCTAGAGAAGCATTTGAAGCACAGAAACATGTACAGTACACAAAATGATAACATTTATTTAAGGGATGATAAAGGAAACGTGAGCATGGGTGGGGAGTGGGCCGGGGAAAATGGAGGTAAGAGGAGAAGTGGAGAGACAGCACCTCAGCATCCGTCTCCCAAGAGAGGACACACTTCTTCCAGTGGGGCTGCTTTTGAGGTAGAAGTGTGGTGGAATTCACATGGCACGTGCCCCCCCAGAAGGAAACACGCCCCAGTAAGGGGCAGTTTATTGGACAAGTAGGATAGAATTACATGGGGGCGAGCGCTTGTGACTTGGGACTTCCAGCTCTGTGGCCCTAAGCTAGCTACCTGCCTTATCCCATCTCATCCCCCCGCAGAGATTTCCGACCCTTAATCTTAAGGGGGTGCTGAAGGATGATGATCCGTCTTCTGTAGCTACTTCCTGCTGGCCAGGGGCGTTGTCCCTACCTATCCAGGGTTCGGAAACCTCTTCTTAGCTCATCTAATCGATCCATCTCATGAGCTGGGGAATTTTCATTGTCACGGCCAATCGCTGTTGCCCTTGCATGGTCATCATCATTTTGAGAAGCTGTCAAATTCTGAAACAGAAAAGTTAGTCAATCAGGATGAGCATAATTGGAAAAAAGATAAATTGCAAGTTGAATCCCCTTCAGGATAGGAGGAGTATATTCCACTGTTTCCCAAAACATGGGCATTGATAGATTGTCTTTGCTGAGATTATAAAACCATCTAGCATAGCCATAAAGACTGGTAGTATCCTTTTCAGTGAATATACAACTGTTAGAGTAGATGCTGCAGATTCCATTAATCACTGCACAGCTCCTGGTTTTGCCAGTATGCATTTTATGGCCAGCTAGTTGTCCATGACTAACTTAGAACACCCACGGACTCAAGCAATTGCTGTAAAATCTGGCCTGAAGTGTAGGCTCTAGTTTGGCCCACACAATAAACAGATTTTTAAATGGTTTTCTATGGCCTAGCAGGATCTCCTACTATCATACTACAAGAACTATGGAGTTTTCCTCACAACAGCAGCCTCCTGAGAGAATAAAAGATAGGCAAAACATGTGTGCCACTAAGTGTAGCAGGTTCAATATGATAAAAGCAAAGGTTTTACTCACCCTTTTGCCCCTTGAAGATGTATTCGAGATCTTGGATGCATTCACAAGAGTGAGCAGACTTGTTCTCTGTGTGCCCCTGTGAAGACTAAAGAGGTAGAACTGAGATCCTTGACAAATGTACCCAGCTTGGGATGCCCTGAATTTGACTTCAGTAGGAGTGCTGAGTAGCACCTGGTAGGATCCCTTTCATCTAGGCTGCAATTGATCAGAGGAAGAGTCTTTGCTCCAATGTCTCTTAAGACTTGGTCTCCTGGGGACAGGCTGTTCATGATTTTGGGACCTGGCACTGTGAGAATTTTATTACCACAGTCCATTAGCCTCTTGTATAGGAAAAAGATTAATAATAAACTCTTACCTGATCTGT